GGAGTTAAAGAGTTGTACGATCCAGATTATGCAACAAAGCAAGTTATCAACGATCAAAAGCGTACCGCCGGGGGCCCATGGTCAGGCCGTTCAACGCCAGTGATTTCAAGAGAAGAAGATAATCTCATACGGTCTCCTCGGGGCCCTGATAGTAGCGGCAGAGGTTTCGCTAGTCGTGGTGGGAAAAAATATTGATATTTTAATATCCCGGAGAAGTCGCTAACATTACCCAACAAGATTCCTGAATACAATATACAGATAGGAGCGATTGTTACCTACACTATCTACAATCGTTTCATTCAAGCTTTACCAGGTTGGACGATACTGGCCAGCGCGCCATGGTTAAACGAAAACCGTCTGGTCCGGCTACCAACCTCCGCCAATTTTCCCTGCAATCTCTATCACTCGCTCGGTTTCGCCGACTTTCTTGCCAACATCGCTGACTACCTCACGATAACTTGTATAGGCCAGCCTCTTTAGGTCTATTCCTGTGGTAGCTGCCCAATGGGCGAGGGTATCTTTAACGTAAGAAGGAGAAATTCCGTCAACTATATCATGACGAATATCTAACGCCCCGTCGTCGTCAATCTTGTCCTCGCTAGACCAGTACGCCTCATCAATTTGCGCCAGCCAGGCCTTCTGCTCCTGTGGTCCAGCCTTCAGCTCAGAAGGTTGGCGACCAGAAACAACTGGATCGTCTACTTTGATTTGACCACCGCCGTTCGTACAGCCCCCGGGACAGGCCATGACCTCAACGTACGCATATTCAAGCCCTGTAGCTTTACCTGCTCCCTTCCTTACGGGTCCGCCAGGTCTTCCTCCGGGCAATCGAGAGCTTTTAGCCGGCTTCAGTCTCCGGACTAGATTTTGAATGTTTCGGAAACCATAATAGCGTGCCCCCTTCAAGAGAATTTCGCCTGTAGCCGACGTGACAGTATATTCTTGAACATCAACGTTACGCCCACGAGTTGTTTGTACCGAAGCACCAACGAATTGCGCCGCAAAATGCTTGAGTATGTAGTGCAAATTACCTCCAGAGGTTCCAGAGGCAGCATCACCATTCTTACGCCACCGTGGTGGTGGGTAGAGGAATGAATGTAGCTTTGCATCTGGAAACGGTGCACGTGAGGCGAGAGGAGTCCGAGGTAGCTTGGAAAAATCGACACGCCGAGAATCAGCAAGCATCAATAACTCCTTACTAGTTATTACACAATCGACATCTCGTACGCTGCCCGTCGCAGTGTTTTCCCATGCCTCGTTTGTCAGCTCCTCTCGGCTGGCTTCCAATTTTTTATCGAAGCATGGCATGACGGCTACGTGCCAAATTCGATCGGGGGAGATACCAAGCCTTCGACTGATTGTCGTTTTCAATAATGTTCCCATTAACGCCTGTGGTGACTTGAGTCGCGATAAATGTGGGAGTACGTATGGATGTGTCTTTTCTGCATAGCAAACCCACCCAGGGCACGAGGAGGTGAGAATAGGTTTAATCGACTGAATATCTGCTTCTCCATTGCTAACTTGGTTGGTCCCATCAGTTCCTCCCTGCTCGGCGAGTATAGGGCCCATCAGTTCATCCGCCCCGAGGACTAAACACGCCTCCCGGGCCGCATTGATGTCGACCACCCACTGAAAGCCGTTGCGATAAACTGCGCGACTCTTCAACCCTCGTGGTCCGCACAGCAACTGCTCAATCATGTTCCCTGCCTGCTGCTCCGTTACCCCATAGGTAGCAGCGATGCTTGCCCGTGATTGTGGGCTTACACTCGCCACGAATATTTTACTCCCCGTATCAAGATTTTCAATTCCCAGGCCATCAGGACTTAGTCGCAAGCCGGGTGCAGCATCCAAGACCGACAGCACCTCCGCATGCGATTGAAGAGAAACGAGTACAGCCTCCGCAGAGGTCACACAGCCAGAACATGCTAAACAGTCCGTAAGGGATATCTGAGCTGGAGGGAGATCGGATTGAGGTATGGGTCGTTCGGTATTAAATGAGACTTCATAGGCATTCTAGAGAAGAAGGTTAATGTTGGAGACTGTACCATGTGCCAACAAGCGAGGAAACACTTACAGGGTCGGATGGAGGTGGACTAGATGTTGGCAGAGTCTCAATAGGTTTGATGCACGCCACCCCGGGTGAGATAAAGTCGTTGAGGTCGTCCGCAGACAAGATTGCGCTCATCTTGAGACCGCGGGCGCGAACCCAGTAATGTATACCTCCCGAGACTCTTTAGCACACCAGGTCGGCGTGTGAAGAAACCTTGATTGCAAGAATATTAACGTAATGAAACGGATGTGTTTTTCTTGACAATGAGAGGTGGCCGTGAAGTACGAAAGAAAAGACGTCTTTGCTATTGAAATTTGAAATCAAGCAACTCCGATTGCGCCCAGCGGAGAATGGTCAACGCAGAGTGGCGGCTCAAGCCGCCACCTTTAGCCTGCACGTGCCTTTTGACAGAACCCTGCAGCCTTATCCATTCCAGGTCTGTGCGCTGCAAGGAACAGCGACCCCGCCACACCAGCTTGTATCTCGAGACGGTATGACGGCCGCAATGCGAGGGATGGCTTATTCCGAAGATTTCCTGGAATTGGTTATGACATAATATGCAAATCAAGCGGCAGCATGGGCCTAAGCCATTTCTACCTGAACCTATTGATTGAGCACCTGCGTGCCTCACCTCTCTCCAATAATACAAAGCTCTTCACAATCAACTCGCTGTGCTGAATCGTTCTGCATCTTTCTCTTGTCGAGCACCGGTTGGAATACTCATTGCTCTGACATCAAGCACTTTTACGACCGATATCAACACGATCGGGAAACAAGAAAACACAGCGATCCTTGAGCATTAAATCCTGTCATAATGGACGTATGTACAATATGGCCCTTTTTATCCCTCATAGACTTCTAAGCTCACTCTCTGGGTGCTAGGTCTTCTACTCGTATACATATGGAACTGCTGGGTTTGTAAAACGAAATATCGTGCCGATTTAGCTGACATGGCTTTGAAGCTGGTTTACCGTTCAAGCACTTCCACTAATTGTGTCGCCCACCATGATCATCAGCTTGCTTTCTCCAGAAGTTAGAGAGGCAACACCCTTGGAACAATATTTCTCTCGATCACTCGGCCTCTGTTTGTTAACACTTGGAGTCATGGTCGTGCTTCTCACTGGATCTGTACCTCTATCCTCGACACTATCTGACAGTCGGTGCAACCCTTTCCGTATTGGTCCCTTACTGACTCATTTCAGCATCGTCGGCTGCCGTGTCGACGGATGCTTCTGATCCCAAAGCGCCATACGCAGTCCCAACACTCACCATATCACTGTTATACCACGCTTCAACAGCGTTCTATGCCTATATGCGTTACACCACAATGGGTCAGGCTGGATTTGCGCTTGGTGTTTTTGGTTCTGGGGGGCTTGCGTGTATGGGATTGTGGTGTCTTCTTTTTGCAAGTAGCAGTGGCCGGATCTCGAGGAAAACAGGAGCAGACAAACGCACGAGTAATTTTCCTTTCGGAAACACGGAAAGTGCTAGCTACAAAAAGAAGAAGCTGGGGAAAGCAATCTAGCCAGGGTATGACTTTGCAAGTTTCCAAAGCGATTATTGCCTGGATTCGAGGATTTGGTGTGGGAGGAGCTGCCGAACCTGATTCTGTTCTGACACTGACCTAATGAAAGTTGTTTATCATCTGGCTTTCCATGGCTCGGTTTCGGCCGGGTTACCAAAGTCCGAGTCTGGTAAAAAGAATTAGAAAATACCTAGATAGACATTGGGAATTATGTGGCTGGCATTATTTAAGCTTATACGTCAGTTGGCCACTAAATATAGTTTAACAAAAATAGCAGCCATTTTTATCGTTGCAGGCGTATGAACCCGTACATCCCGTCATTGTACCTTAGTTCTCTGTCATGGTCATTGTTGTCGGGTCAGGAGAAATTATCGCAAAGGTGACAGTTCGAGGTTGTACTTCGTCATCCCGAAAAGGGAAAAGGAGGGGCAGCAGGATCTAAAGTATCTATCCTTGTACAAGAATGCCCACCACAGATAGCTCATCGTAAACTCCGTTTCTAAACCCCGGGACATGGGTTTTCGGACCCTACGAAACCCATCAACAAAGTAACTCTAGTACTGTTGACGGCATATATAGGTAAAGAAATATCTCCAAGAAAACAACCATCATTCAACTTTATCAGCACCATACACCAAGCGAAGCGGCCGAATCAGCAATGCCTCAATTGTTAGGAAAGACGATCGGGCCAACTGGATATGGTCTCATGGGTTTGTTTCTCCTCATCAAGTGTCTGCCAAGCCATGGATTAATCAAATGAAGGTCTGACTTGGAGACCCGAACCGCAAGAGGATGAAGAATCCATCCGAGCAATGAAAGCCTCGCTAGAGGCCGGATGTAATTTCTGGAACGGTGGAGAGTTTTACGGACCGCCGGAAAGAAATTCTCTTCAACTACTGAACAAATACTTTACCAAGTATCCCGAAGATGCGGAGAAGGTTGTCCTCTCGATCAAAGGTGTGATTGACATCGAAAAGCTGCGTCCGTAAGTTGACAAGCGTACATGGTTCATGGAAATATAGATTGACTATTACAGGGACGGGAGCCCCGAGGGCGTCAAAAAATCGGTTGAAAGATGTTTAGAGCTACTGGATGGCAAGAAGAAGATTGACATTTTCGAACCCGCTCGTGTTGACAAGAACACGCCAATTGAAACCACACTCAAGGCTCTTGAGGAATATGTGAAGGCTGGAAAGATCGGCGGGATTTCTTTGGTAAATCATGCATTATCTCTGGCCTGGAATTTCGAAGCTAACTTACTCCAGAGCGAGGTTTCCGCAAATACCATACACAGAGCCGTAAAGGTCACCAAGATCGTGGGCTGTGAGGTCGAGCTTTCACTCTGGGCCACCGAGTCCGTATTTTTCCTTTGTTCCTCCCTTCAAACTCTGGTCCCTAGTGGCTGGGAGCATGTTTGATCTTTAAACACGGCTCTCTGCTCCGGAGCAAACAAGAAAAACGTATGCTAATTTGTTGGATTTAGTATATTTAAGAACGGCGTTGCCGCAGCGTGTGCTGAGCATGGCATTCCAGTCATCGCGTATGTGAAATTCCAGATGCTCTCCTGCTAAAGCTAACAATTCAGTTATTCACCCATTGGCCGAGGAATTTTAACGGGAGAAATCAAGAAACCTGAAGATATTCCCAAAAACGACATGCGTAGTCACATGCCACGCTTCCAGGGTGAAAATTTTGAGAAAAACCTAGAACTCGTCCAACGGTTAGAAGATTTTGCGAAGCAGAGAGGTTGTACCCCAGCGCAATTAGCGCTTTCCTGGGTTCGACATTTATCCCAAAAGAATGGAAACCCCGAAATAATACCTATACCAGGCGCCACTAAGGTGGAACGTATCTTAGAAAACGCGAAGGACTATCCTCTGAGCGGCGAGGAGTCGGCGACAATCGATTCCATCTTACAAAGTTTTGAAGTGGTGGGCGAAAGGTATGGTGGCCCACAAGCAGAACTGATGGAAGGCTAGAGTGCAAGTCAGCATGATGCCATTGCCATTTGACGTGTTTGAAAGGGGTCGTGAAGTGTGCTCAGGAAGTTTTGTAATGTATGTAGAATCGACATTGGCCGAAGCCATCCGAATTGCAGAACCCGTAAGGATATTCATCAAAGCGCAAATGGGTCACTAATGTAAAGATTGGGTGTTTGATGTGATACTTACTATGCACGTTGACCAGCCTTGGTAGATTTTGCTGAGGTAAGTACCTAGGTAAGTAGCAATAGGGATGTTAACAAGTCTTGGAGTGAGATCAAACAATGTGTTGAGCAAAATGTGCATTGCGCTTGGGCCACCAGGGCCCAGGGATGATGGGGATTATGGCTAGTGTTACTTACTGCGACGGGAGCTCGAGGCTGCAGCAACCGACCACAACCATCGATCCACTGCCATCCATAAATACATGTAGCAAGCAGTTGGGGGGACGTTCATAGCTGAGCTGCTGCGAAACTGCCTCATATTGCCATCATGGAAGACTCTCCCCCAGGATCACCGCTCTCTACAATCTCCAGCGACGCTTTCGAACCCGATTATGGAACTGTTACTGCCCATATGCCTCCAGCAAAGCGCCAGAAGCTAGAGGACACCTCAAGACGGGCGACACCAACATCCCATCAAGTCGACTTCGATGCCGTCGAGGAATCTTCCGACACCGATGGAGAGGTCCCCAACTCGCCGAATAACTCACGGCCGGAGGATGACGATAACCATGAGCAAGTGACGATCTGCGCTTGGGATGGTTGTGAAGCTGGCGACCTGGATAACATGGATCGGTTGGTAGAGCATATACACAATGAGCATATCGAAACGCGGCAGAAGAAGTATACGTGCGAGTGGGGTGACTGTATAAGGAAGAGCGCACACCATGCCAGTGGCTATGCTTTGAAAGCGCACATGAGGAGCCATACCAGGGAGAAGCCCTTCTACTGCGCACTGCCAGGCAAGTGCTATTCAATTCTTCAATACCGTTGCTTCTAATGCTTGTTGTCAGAATGCGATCGCGCTTTCACACGCTCGGATGCTCTTGCGAAGCATATGCGAACTGTTCACGAAACCGAAGCTCTTCGGCCTTCTGATCCAATCCCCAAGTCGATGCAGCCGGCTGCAAAAACATCCCGCCGAGTGAAGCTGATACACAAAGCTTCCCCAAACTCAGCGGAAGACCACAGCGGGGCCACAACGTATGGCGACACCAACGGCGATGCTTCTACGGAGTGGACGTCGTCTTATCCACCGGATCTTGGATTCACTCCAGACGAAGAAGCAAAAGGCCCAGTACAGTTGTACCAATATCTACGTCGAGAATTGATGTGGACAGAAGAAGAATCAGAGATACTTAAGCGACAAGCAGATGAGATGGAGGTTATTAGAAAAAGGGAATGGATGGAGAAAGAGGTGCTGATGGACCAAGTCGTCAAAACCGAAATTTCATACCACGAGCGTCGAGCAGCAGTCCTAGAAGGTCAAGCAAAGTTGCCTACTGCAGACGAAATCAGAGCCGCTGCCGCTGTGGCTGCACCCGTTTCCTATCAAATGACACCCGTCAAATCACAACCGTTAGAGGACCAAACAGAAGCTGCGGTTGTGCTAGCCTCCATGCGGCAAACATGATACATAAAAGGCCAGTCGAAGTCGGAACTAGCTTGCTTCGCTATACATTCCTAATAGGTACATCATGAACTGATGAGCGCCAAGTCGTGGCATGTAACGGTAGCTCATCGAGGAATACGGGTAGCAGCACCATCATCTTACAATGTAGGCACCTGCATGGTAAGCAGGAAGACAGAACGTGGTCGTTTCCCACTGCTATCATCATGGGCGGAGAGATCATATGCTTTGCACAATCGTATGAACGGTCTCCTACGTCGAGTCAAGTAGCCGGAACAGTCACTTTGTTTGTCACATTTGCGGAAGGCTCTATATTAGAACAAATGAAATCTGGACCTTTTATTTTTGGGCGCCAAAGAGAAGGGGCGTCACCCACGTAGCTCTAATGATGTTCTCCCAGCTGCGACTACTAGATCAAGAGGGATGATTTAGGCGGTCGATGATGAGGGAAGGTTTCCCTGTTTGTACTTGTAGACAACTGCTATATAGCAACCCTGCCGGGCATTACACGTCAATCAATCCTCCTTCCACCTCTTTGGTGAGCCTTCCCTTCTCTGCATTTTCCCTTGGCATATCCGGGCCATTGCTGAATATGGTACTATCACTGTCCACATCTTCCTCCCAGATTCTAACTTCCCGCCTTAACACCCTGTCGTCCACTCCCCTAGCCGAAGTCCTATCTTTCTTTGGGGTTCCATTTAATAGTTTCCTGCGACGTTCTCCTGCACGAGGTTCGAATGCTGATATCCTTGAAGCCTTCAACCCGCCTGCGTCACCTCTGGGTGTGCCTTTTTCAAGTTCCAATATCATATTATTTTCAGGCTCCTTGCTAAGGTCCTTATTGGCAGTTGTTCGCTGCCGTTCTCGTAGGCTTCGGGGGGAGTCTGGTGCAAAACAATCCTCATTTGCCCTCCGATACCAGCCAGGCCAGTTATCTAGTCCGACTTCTTGTAGTCCACGAAGGGTCATAGGCATAACATGTCGATAGCGACATTGCTTTCCCCATTTGCATATTCCATGGTGACACCAATGGCGACAGGTCTGATCGTATACTGTTGAGCCTGTTGAGATAGAGGATTTTTCCGCTGAGCTGGGCAATTGTGGCAATTTGGATATAGATGTGGATCTTTTTGATGTTAGGCCGCACAGCAAGCTGAAAACAGAATATACTTACCGATTCTCAGCTGTATCGTTCCTGGTCTCTATCTGTGCACCCCTAAGGTCTTTCTTAACGAGCTCGTAAAAGTTCTTGGAGCGCTGTTGCAGGCCCAAACTCAACATCCCCACGGTTTCATCTAAGGTAAGGTTTCTCGGGGCATTAACAATGCTGAGTCCTAGGGGTAGTTCATCGATGGCAATGAGAGGGACGACCTCTCCATTGCTACGTATCACGAAATAAGAGGGCTTTGGTTCTTGCTCTGGGCAAGTTTGTGTTGGTGACATTGCGGTATACTTCGATATGCGGTACCTAAGGCTGATGAGGAATCCTGGAGCAGGTTCTACCATAATATATATGCCAGTGAGGCGAAGAGCTGATTACAACCGTTGCTTGTATGTCATGTTGGCATTTTGTGAAGTTTGATCAAGGAAACTTGCGATACGAAGTTAGTCGATCAAACACAGCATTGCCTACACCATAATCTGTACAAACACGAAACACTGTCAGCGGTACTGGAAGTGTAAACGCAAGGTGGTCACAATGCTAGGCTCGCAAATAAACTTTAAACTATTTGCTTAAACAATTCTCGCCGAGTTGGATAGCGACATAGGCTCTACTCGGATTTTTGCTCTATTTCCATCCACGCAAACGCCAATTGCGCGAGTAGAATCCTTGATCTCTACCTCTCTCTTCATCCATTTACCCTGTTTGCTTTCGGGGTCATGAACAATCTCTGAAGCTTCATACTGCGTTTCCGAGCTGCGAGTTTCCTCTTGGTAGCTAGCAATCGGATCCCATATACCGGTCTCCCAAGTAAGCTTAAGGCGAAGAGGTGGATGGTTGAAAATTCGACCTACTATGCCTTTGACGCGATAGATATTGAATGATTTGGGGATCTCTCGCAGCACAGTCGCGGTCTTCCGACTCATCTCTCGTTCGTTACTCACAGGCGGATGCAAGTAGAATTCGAATTTTATCGTTCGAGCCTCCAAGAATTTCAAATTTATATCGTCCGCAGATTTGCGGTCGATAGTTGGAGGACCGTGGATTTCGCAAAGCTCCTGGTACCTTTTATGTCTTGATATCACGAGCGAAACGTCGTCTTCATTGGCAGTCGCTATTTCTTTTGCGATGAGCGAAAGGTAAAATCCTTCCGCATTAGCTCGGTACTCGGGGAGGATCTCCCGGTAATCCAGAACCTCCAGTGCTTTTATTCGAGCTACTGTGATCATAGAAGGGTCATCCGGTGTATAGGGGAGGCCGTGTTCGGCGGTCTTTAAATGAACAGGATTTTGAGAAAGCCGCAAGGCCTTCAGACCAGGAAACGTGACAGGGAGATTGTCAACGAAGTCCCAGCTATCCACCAGATTGTATGAAAGATCCACAAAACGTAGTTTTGTACCGAAAGTCAAAACTGGACGAGAGGCACTCAAATCTTGTCCTCTATCATGATCTGGGAGCTCCATAACTGTGGATATTCGATTTCCCTTGAGCTTCAACGACTCCAGCGATTGTAACTCGGCCAGCCAGGATAGTTGTGACAGGTTGGTAAACCGGTTGAACTCCAACGCAAGCGATTTGAGACTGTCCAGTCGAAGTCCGAAATCAATTTGATTCAACGCGTTTAGGGACAGATCTAGTTCTTCTAAGGAAGGAAATTGCTTTGCCAAACTGGTCATCTCCGCAAGTGGCATGAACATTTCCTTCATTTCCAAGTAACGAACTCCCCGAAACTCGCCCCGGGCTTTGCTCTGGACATGAGGGAATTTATTGTTACTAAAGCTCCAGGTCAGAAATGGGTTGGCGACAGAGACGTGTGCTCACTTGATCCTGAGGGTCGTCAGACTGTCCAATTCACCACAAATGCGCAAAACAGTCTCGAAATCTTCGAAGAGATTTCTGCTGAGGTCAAGTTCACTGACTCTTGGACAGGTTTTTTTTATGAAAGAGTCAGTCTTTTCGGCAGTGTTGATTCGAAGGCCATCGACAAGAACCACAGTCAATCTATGCAACTGAGCCTGTTGTCTCCTGATCTTGTCAAATCCGATTTCTTCAGCAACTTTACCAGAAATGACATGCTCAGTGGTTGGCACATCTGGGTCTGGTGGAGCATATTTTTCCCGAACAGCCTCTAGAAAGCTCTGGGGGACATCGGCAATGGCTGTCGTTCGCATGAAAGAAGCGCCTGTAGCAGAGCCACTCAAGCCTCGCAAGAGTCAGTAAGATATAATACTGGAAGCTAGAGAGAGCTCACACTCAAAGTATCTCTTCCCTTTGTACTGCCCATCATGCTTCCCACGTGCAGGATTATCCCATTCGATCCCGAGTCTCACGTTGTCTTTTCCAAGACCATCAATCGGTCCAATATATCTAACCGTACCAGAAGCATTCAAGAACGAAACACGTTGACCTACATGATAATTGGTAGGCATCGCATTCCCGAAAAGGTGTACAGTAGGGGAGCTCTTGAAATGTTGGAATGAATTCCTTCCTCGCTACGATACATTTAACCCATGCCACGTGAGTTGTATGCCGCGCACAGGTGCAGCTGATCTCTGTCTTGGCGCTGCTCTCGCCGATGTAATTTATTAGACCTACTGTACCACTCACTTTCGAGTCAACGAGCTCACGACAATTTGGAAGTAAGTGTGCCCACCCATTGGCAGTCATCAACTTATCTCTTTGCTCCAGGAGTAGCCAAACTCCCACAATGGATTATCAGAATCGCGCAGGTTCAAAATTTGGAGGAGGCGGCGTCGCGTCAACCTCAGCAACCAACGCGGACCGACGAGAGAGACTTCGCAAACTGGCCCTCGAAACCATCGACCTAGACAAGGACCCATATTTCTTCAAAAATCATGTCGGCTCCTTTGAATGTCGCCTTTGCCTTACAGTTCATCAAAACGATGGATCCTACCTTGCGCATACTCAAGGCCGGAAACACCAGACCAATCTGGCCCGGCGTGCTGCACGAGAGCAGAAGGAAGGAAGAGCGGGCACCGACCCTGTTACTGGTTTGCCTATTGGAATGGTAGGGGCACAGGTTAACGTGAGGAAGAACGTTGTGAAAATTGGGAGACCTGGCTATAAGATTACGAAAATTCGAGATCCAGTTACGCGGCAGCAGGGCCTATTATTTCAGCTTCAATATCCCGAGATATCCGTTGAAGTACAACCAAAAGTGCGCTTCATGAGTGCCTTTGAGCAAAAAGTGGACGATCCTCCGGATAAGAACTTCCAGTACATGCTGATCGCTGCGGAGCCATATGAGACCTGTGGATTCAAGCTGCAAGCCAGGGAAGTAGATCGTACGAATGATCGGTTTTGGACTTGGTGGGATTCTGATTTGAAGGAATTTTGGGTGCAAGTGATGTTCAAAACGGAGAGAGAAGAGCGATACAGTGGTGTTCCGGGTTTGGCGCCATCTGGGATTCCCAGGCGATGATTACACTGTTCACAAATCTGGAGTCAAGGCGTTCACTACCACGGGGAGTTTAAGGTTATGGACTGTATCACTCGTGACAACTATCAACGTCTAGCATAGTAGTCGAAAGAACCTAGTCCTTTGGCGAGAATCACATATGAAGTGCACTAGTGCTGGAGATATCATTAGTTTCCAGTCTGATTTAAAGCTCGTGATTCATATTGTAGAAAAGCACTGCTTCACGTATTATAGATTCGGCACTTTCGTCTCAATAGTATCATTAGATGAAACCCAACGTTGGAAATTGTTATTGGTATTTCCATCCTCCCTCAATGCGCCTGTCGCTACACCAACTAGCAAGAAAACTTCCTAGTGCTCCTAGTCCAGATCACTCGACGCAATTAAACACCAATGGTATATCCCCTTGCATTTGTAGTCGCATTTCAAGTAAACAACGCAAAATGGTATCCTGCGAAAAGGGTTTGGTAGCCACGCCACTGGTCAATAGCACCAAAACATGACGCAAGCCCTCTGAGGGTCTCTTTCATAACGACGGGCGATATTTGGCTTTACTATGCTAACACGACATAGCAATCATCTGTAGTTGGTTTCGAAACGCTTAAAAGTATACCCAATGAAAGGCAGGCTCATTTCAGGGGCTTCCGAGCGTGGTTGGTTACCAGCGGCCGTGGCAGCCGCCTTCAGATGTGTAGCGTTGTCGGTTTGATCAATTTCATCCGTCGGGAAATACGTAGTATCGACATTAGAGTTCAATTTCGGTTCGAAAGGAGCACGGATACGGCGCAACGTGTCAAATTCGACCCCACGGAAAAATTTATGGTTTTTGATTTCCTCAGCACCTCCGCGACCCAAACGATTCTCTGTATTGCAAACCAGACTGACTTGGTATTAGTTATGATCAGTAAAAGAACACGTAAACTCACCTCCGAATAAGATTCTCAGCTTCCGGACCCAACTGAACATCTTCTGGAAAGTACAGCGACTGACGCCAGTTGACAATTTTTCGATAAGTGTCATGTGCATCCTCAGCACAGAAAGGAGGCCACCCAACTTGGCACTCAAACATGATCGTACCCAAACTCCACCAATCACAGTCAGACCCATAACCATGGCCAGTAAAGATCTCCGGGGCAATGTAATCGGGAGTTCCGACCGTCGAATATGCCATGACACGACGTGACTTGCGCCAATCGTTGATGGCACCTCTGTTACTCACCGTGAGGTTGATTTGGTCAAGATTGACGGAATTCCGGTCACGGGGTCGATTTGACTTGCCCTGGAGAAGGTTCTGATAGTAGGAGTTATCGTGTAATTTATGGAACCCAGTAGAGAGCCCGAAATCTGTAAGTTTGACGTGTCCTCCACGATCGAGTAGGATATTGTCAGGTTTGATATCGCTAGCACGGGTTAATTGACGAAGATGTAGGCGCACAGAGGGTCTTACCGATGGATGTATCCGTATTTGTGAACTGCTTCGATCGCTAACACGATCTCGGCGATATAAAATCGGGTTATGTCTTCAGAGAAGATCTCATACTTGATCAGCATCGTCATAAGATCGCCTCCTGGCAAGAACTCCATCAACATGTAAAGGAAGTCGGAGTCCTGGAATGTGGTATACAGCTTTACTACCCAAGGACTGTCGGATTCGGCAAGAATATCCCGTTCTGCACGGACGTGGGCCAGTTGATCCTTCTTGAACATTTCACTCTTAATGAGTGATTTCATAGCATATACCTTACCATCCTGCTTTTTCTGCACGAGTTTGACCTCACCAAAGGCACCTTTTCCAATGATCTTGAGAGTTTGGTAGTTATCTGGCTTATCTCTGGTTCGCAGGAATCGAAGATATTTCCCCTCTTGCTTCCCAGCATTGCACCAAGTCTGTTCTCTTCTCGACTGTGACTGGTTTGGATCTGCCATTCGCTGTTCCATCTCGCTTTGCCTATGCGGAATTGGTTAGCAAAGTTGTCTTTGAACGATCTAAATATGCACTTCCTGTCTGATGGTTGATTCACTTACCTAACATTCCTATCTCGGGCACGCTTCACACTGTCCTTGAAAAAAGTCTCCGCTAACTGAGAGCATTTGGTCTGATTCGTTTCTGCCGTCTTCCCGTATTTATCTGGATTCCTCTCGGACGGACATGGTTGAAACTCGGGCCAGGTCTGTTGTTGAGACTGTGAGGGCATCGGCGCAAGATAATTGTTATGATGTGCTCCTGGTTGACTAGGAGCTCCCGCGGTTCGTGGCCGCTGCCCTCCTGGCGATGCAGTTTGGCGTGTGCCGTAAGGCGAGACGCGGCCGCCGAGGTTTTGGTGTGAGAACTGATGTACTAACCCGTTGGTTGCGTCGTTCGCCTGGTACTGAGGGGTTCTGCTTTGGTATGTCGCAGAGGGTGCTTGAGGTGCTTGCCCATAGGATGTTCCTGGGGGCTGCTGGGGGTAGGTTGGGGGATACGGATTGTTCATGAAATAGCCCTGAGGAGCAAACCCCGTCGAGTATGGCTGCTGCGTGTTTTGGGTTTGTCCTTGTGATACCCCTTGTGCCTGAGTTGGGAAAATGGGATTGGGAAAAGTCGAGGGGGTCGTTGGATATGCCCGATCGTTGAATTCTGGACGAGCACCATTATTAGGGTTCAGGTTTAAGTGGAAACGATTGTTGTTGTCCATCTTCGCTGATGTCGATGTATTGTAATGTGCGTTGTTAACGGTGGACAGTAGAGTAGAGAACACAACAATGGTCGACGTCGGGGTAGTTATCGGCTTATCGGGATAGACTCGGACGCTAGGCCTGCTTAGCCGCTCTCGCGGAGTAATAGTCGGATAGAGCCCTCCTACTACGCGTTCTACTTATAGTCGGGGAAAACTAGCTATATATTCTAAAAAACTAAGTTTTCTAGATTCTAATTTTTTTTAGATAGAAGTCTCTATATAAATTAATTCTATAAACTTAAAGTAGTACTTAGTATAGTCTATACTTAAGTTAAATATATATTACTTATTTATATATAGTTAGAATAAATTAAAATAATATAGTTAGTAGAGCTAAAGAATTATTCTTATTTTAAGTTAAATAAAAATTAATAGAGTTATATAAATTTAAAAGTATCTTTTTAAAATATATTACTATAAATATTCTAGAGATAGTTTTACTTTAAAATATAATTATAATTAAGAATTATTAAAAATTAGATAATAATAGTAAGTTTAATTTTTAGTAGTTTTATAAGCTATATTATTTCGCGAAGTAATAATTTAATAAAATTAATCTAAAAAATTTATCTATCTCTTATTACTAATACTAGAATACTTAAATGATCTGTTTCTACTAGTAATTCCCCACACTCGTTAAGGAGTAATATTAAATGCCGAGAAACGAGATCTGACTAAGGAAAAGACAAGGAAACAACGACACTTTCTCCAGGTTTTGCGACTAAACTTCTGAAAGAGTGAACATATCTACTGGTTGACCGACTTTCTGTTCCCCTTTTTCCGTTTCTTTGCTAGATAGGTCTTGCAGATCCGATGATGGAACGATATTATCCTCCCCTTGTTACAATTCTGCTCGAGGATTGCTGTAGGCCAATGCCCCAGACGACGATGGTCACAATATCGCCTGCTGTTAGCCTAACCTGGTCAAATCACCAAGATCAAGTCGTACGAGCATACCTGATGGATTTCTGCCTAATAGAATAGATATTGGCCTTGGCGTTATCGGAGTCCAGCGGTCGTAAGAACTGCTTCTGGTTCAGGTGAGCCTCTATTCGTTGATAGTCTTCCCCACTAAGTATCTGCTTTTGCTTTTCCTTCAAATATCCGGCTGGTGTCCCTAAATTGTTTGAGAACATTCTCGATAGTTTTGAGAGTCTCCTCCGCTCGAATAGGGATCATGGGGGTCATGGTCTCGTCGGGGGTTCTGAGGGGGTGGGCAGAGGCAGAGGGTTATTCTCGAGAGAATCGAGTTCAAGAGGCGCTAAGGATAGCGAGACGTCGACTTCGAGGGTGTTAGCCAGAAAGCACGATGATGAGGAGGGCCGGAGGGCACTAAGAGATAAGCGTTCAATAATAGAAAAGATGTCGGTAGAGTCGTAGATCGAGGCTGCGGGAAGCGAAGAGAGTGAGCCTCGAGAGTTCCGCAGGCGATATGAGAAAGGGAAGCCTCCATTCACCAACGCGAAAGAATTCAACGTGACTGGCCTGGAGTTCACTAATAGAAAGAACATAAGAGAGGCCAATACGAAAACAAGTCGGAATCACGGCAAAGAGGCAGTTTTCTCCACAGTACGATGAAAATAAGTCAGGTATACTATTGAATTGAGCTCAATTGTCACTGTCTACGACGTTCTATGAGATCGGTGCCGACTGTCGATGCCGCCATCACGCATCGGAAAGCCAGGAACTGAATGCCATTGATGCGGCAGCTCTGTTGACAATCCACCTCGCCCGGTCGCCTTCCTGCGCCTGACAATCACGCGTTGGGACGCTTTGTGCTATGGTGGAGTGAGTCGAGCATTGCTGCTGTGGCTTCGAGCCGCCTCCTGAGTCAATCTCTGTTGGGAAAGGTTGTAGCAATCAGTCAAGCAGTTATACAGCTCTCGAGTGAAGGACACTCTGAGGAATGACACCGAAAGAGGGGTCTACGAGGTATGCAAATTCTCTGTTTGGATGTACGGCCACCCAAGACGTGTTCAAAGTTACCTGTTATTCATTGATTAGTTAGCGGAAGTCTCGACATGATATGAAAAGCGAAAAGCATGTGTGTTTGTTCGTGTCCATCAGACGCAAGGCTGAAACTTAATCCCACAGAGTGTATTCGGGTTCAATGATAATGCAAAAAGTATCATCACTTGGACGAGTTTTATTGTTCGAGGCTAAGCTGTACATACCTTTGTTTATACCATCGCGATAGTTGAATGGCTCGCTCCCGAAGAGGACAACTGTGGCACGTTAGTGACCGCCATCAGAAAGCAAATTCATCGCGCTTGCTTCGTTCAACTCCATACTCAGTGTAACTTCGGGATATCGTTGCGTCATCATTCAGATGTCACGACAAAATAATTCATCTTTGTATTCGAGAACAAGATCGGAGGAGTCAAGATATCTTACCTGATGAATATTTGATCTCCAATCGGTCAACCGCGACGTGTTTTGATGAAGATTCGTTTGGTGTACAGGTCAGGCCAGAGTTAAGGAAAAAAGTGCTTGTAAGTTGAAAAAGTCAGACGGCGCTAGTCTGAATTAGTCCGCGACCTCCGTGGCACGTGCGTGGATGACGGACATCTCACCTGCAATTGGAACCTGGAACGTGCCCACATTATTTGCGCCACTTCTATTCAGTCAGGACATGTGTACGGAGGTCGCGGCCAAAAGTCTTGCAACGACAGGGAATTACGCTACTTACTTAGGTTAAAGGCTACTATATTGTAGGGGTTTTAAAATTAAAGCTATTTAGAGATTTATTAGGATCTAACTTTTTTTAAAAAAAACTTAATTATAATATATTCTTATTATTTCTATTTATTAAAGATAAGAAAATAAGAAAATAAGAATTATAATACTTTATTATTTAGCTAGTATATAGGTATATATAGTACTATTTAATATAATAGACTACTTAATATATTAATATTTAATATTAATATTAGTAGTTATCTTATAGGTTAGTTAGATTAGCTTTAAAGCTTACTAATAACTAAGGTTATTATTTATATAAGAGAATTGTTAGTTTTATATATAATATATAGTAATAAATACTTATATTATTCTCTTTCTATACTTAATTAGGTTAAGGCTTAGTAGTACTATAGTTTAAACTAAGTCTACGTATTCTTATTATTTCTATTCGTTAGAGATAAGAATAATAATGTAGTAAGCCTTAGTAATTTAACCGGTATATAGGTGTATATAGCGCTATTTAATCTAATAGGCTACTTTATATAGTATAGATATTAGTACTTATACTATAGGCTAGTTAGATATCTAAAGATATCGGTAGTTATACTATAGGTTAATTAAATCCCTTAAGATATCGGTAATTATACTATAGGTTAATAGTTTAGCTTTAAAGCTTACTAATAACTTATTCTAAATGTAAAAGGTAAAATTTAGGATAAAGCGTAATAAAGACTAGATAACTTAATAATATATAAAAAGTATATATTTTTACTTAAAGAACTTAAAACTATAGAGGGGATTTCTAACTATATATAAACTTTAGAATAAGTTATTAGTAAGCTTTAAAG